TTTTAAATATTTTAATAAAATTGTTCGAAAGAAATCGATTATTTGAAATACAATTTTAATTAAATTTTTTTCAAAGAATTCAATTATTTACATAAATAATTCTTGGAAAGAATTTAATTATGTCGATAAATAACAAAATTATTCCTGAAAATTTTATTATTTCGTGGCATTTAATAAAATTCTTTGCAAAATTCAATTATTTTCATGAATTCAATGATTTTCAATATCTACTAAAATTTCATAAAATTTCCAAACAGAATTTAATTATTTAAAAAAATCTTTGTGAAAATCTTCGTAAGAACTTAATTCTTTTCGTGAATAATAAAAATTTCTCAGAAATTCAATAACTTAAATTAGAATTTGCATAAAATTAGTCAATTGAAATCAATTATTTAAAATGTTTTATAAAATTCTTCGCAAAAATTAAATTATTTTTATATAAATATTTAAATTCTTTCATGTATAATAAAATTCGTTGCAGGAATTCATCTCAATTCTCTCAAGTTCTCTAAAATTCTTCTAAAAATATCTTCAAAGTTCAAAATCTATGAAGGTTAATACATTACAAAAATGTTTTTAAATAATGCAGACTTAAAGCTTTTTTTTTACTAAATTTGTTTAGTGAATTTAAAGGATTATAATTTTTTTTATCCAAAAGTAAAACAAGAAATCCGTTTTCAACTATAAGGTTATTTCTTTAACAAAATTTAAATTTTCTAAATGATAACGAGAATGTGATAATTTATATGTATTTATTATAATTACTGTAGTTATAATCAAGTGAACTTTAAAATTATAATAAAGTTTAAAAAAATATTGTTTAATGTTCCAACTAATTAAGTAAGTTCATCTGGTTTTTTTTTGTTTAATAACCAGATAAGGTAGAAAATTTTAATGTCAAAGATAAAATTATGAAACATTTTAAATTATTAAGCTTGCGCTATCTTTATGTCTATTCTTCATTTGAAGTTGCAGGAGAGTCATGGCTGGCAGCCAAGGTTTTTATAAAGTTTCGTGGAGCACTTGTGTCTATGTGAGGAGAGAAAGAGTAGGTAAGGCGGGCAGAGATCAAGATGTGTCGCATATGTGTAATTTTTTTTCTTCTTTTTTTTTGCTTCTTTTTTTTTGTTAAACGACCTGATTCTTTGATAAAGCCAATAAACCCTTGTCAACTGAGAGGAAGTTGCATCGGTCAGTCGATACTCCATCTACCTTTTTAGATCAATTCGTGCCTAACCTGACTGGCACATCCCTTGGGTACTTTTATTCCTCGGATCACCGGATCGAGTCGGCTGCCAAATTTGTTTAACGAGTTTCCGGCTACACGGACTTCCATATCAAAATGCACGAATTTTCCTGTCTATTGGGATTTCCGGCTTCAAAATCAGTCTAGATGAAGCCTGATATTCATTGGTGTGCCAGTACTTTTCCTGCATGGGAAAACTTTTTTTAATTCTTTTTTTTTTTTTTTTTTGAATAGACGATAATTTTCAAGTTTATTAAGTGTATTAATCTTTGGGATTATATTTTACGACATTGAAATGCTTTCCGCTTTCGTGATCAGAAAAAATAATTTTCAACAAAAAAAAAGTTTATTAAAGAGTCATAAGGTTTGTGAAAGTCTCTCATAGCGATAACCGTTTCATCGTACTATAACCGAAAAGATTCCATCAGCAATATCAGATATCCGGTTAATAAAAAGATTCTAGCTAAATAAGTTTTGCCTTGCGAATGAAACTTTTTCTTTAGTTTTCTTTGTTTTTTTCTTGTAGATGTTTAGCGATAAAAAATCGACCATTCTCAAAATGAAATTCTGAAATATAATATAGAACTCAACGTGAAAGTAGTGAAATCCTCATGAGAGGTAATGCCACTCAAGAATATTATCTTTCTGTGATTTGTTTTTAAACAGAAAATATGTTGTTTGGAAAATAAATGTTTACAGAATTTACCAATATAAGAAATTATATTTTTTCATGAATCTTCATAAATGATGTAAGCAGATAATTATCTATAAATAATCTTCGTATACAATCTTTCCCTTTTTTTCGTAATTAGTATTTTTTCTTATTTTTTTAGGTCGTTCATTACGATAGTTTTATTAAAATACAGCAAATTTGAAAATTTTAGTCCGCCATATTGGATCCGCCATTTTGAATTTTGAAAATGTACCATCAGATTCGTAATCAGCAACCCCAAGAACTATTAGGTACCAAGATTTATAAAAATTTATCAAATTTGAATATTTCAGTCCCCCATATTGGATCCGCTATTTTGAATTTTAAAAATCTAATATCACATTCGTAATCGGCGACCCCAAGAACCCTTATGTATCAAGTTTCATAAAAATTAAGAAAATTTGAAAATTTAGTCCACCATATTGGATCCGCCATTTTAAATATTGAAAATGTACCATCAGATTCTTAATCAGTAGCCCCAAGAACTATTAGGTACCATGTTTTATAAAAATTTATCAAATTTGAATATTTCAGTCCTCCATATTGGAACCGCCATTTTGAATTTAAAAAATCTAACATCAGATTCGCAATCAGTGACCCCAAGAACTATAAGGTACCAAGATTTATAACAATTTATCAAATTTGAATATTTCAGTCCCCTATATTGGATCCGCCATTTTGAATTTAAAAAATCTAACATCAGATTCGTAATCGGCGACCCCAAGAACTATTAGGTACTAAGTTTCATAAAAATTTATCAAATTTGAATATTTCAGTCCTCCATATTAGATCCGCCATTTTGAATTTAAAGAATCTAACATCAGATTCTCAATCAGTGACCCCAAGAACCCTTATGTACCAAATTTTATAAAAATTTAGCAAATTAAACAATTTCAGTCCGCCATATTGGATCCGACATTTTGAATTTTAAAAATCAAACATCAGATTCGTAATCAGCGATCCCAAGAACCTTTAGGTACCAAGTTTTATAAATATTAAGCAAATTTGAAAATTTCAGTCAGCCATATTGGATCCGTCATTTTGAATTTTGAAAATCTAATATCGGATTCGTAATCAGCGACCTTAAGAACTCTTAGGTACCAAGTTTCATTAAAATTATGCAAATTTAAAAAATTTCAGTCCGACATATTGAATCCGCCATTTTGAATTTTAAAAATCAAACATCATATTCGTAATCAGCGACCTCAAGGACCCTTGGTTACCAAGTTTTATAAAAATTAAGCAAATTTAAAAATTTTAGTCCGCCATATTGGATCCGCCATTTTGAATTTTAAAAATTTAAGATCAGATTCTTAATCAGCAACCCCAAGAACTATTAGGTACTAAGTTTTATAAAAATTTATCAAATTTGAATATTTCAGTCCTCCATATTGGATCCGCCATTTTGAAATTTAAAAATCTGGCATTAAATTAGTAATTTATTTTATTTCAAGTGCATTTTGATATTTCTTATCAAGAAAATTTTTAATAACACTTGAAATAAATTAATAAACACAGAAATATCTTAAAAAGCCTTGAGGTCTAAGTTATTTTTATCCATTTTATAAAAATGTTTAAAAAAGTGCTTTTCTTTAGATAAGCATTTAAATTAGAATACCCCTAAAATCCCCAGTTTAAGTCTAATCTTCTGAATAAAGCATGTCAATTCAAGAGTTAAAATTAAAAATCCTGAAGTATTTAAAAGAAAATTGTTCAATGGAATATTAAATTATGTATTCGATTTTTTCGAGCTATTCCAAGAGTGCTCGTAACTTGAAATTGATGATCGGAATCCAGGTCATTCAGCAACCTAGACGGGAAGTTCTCTAAAACGAATCTCCGGTGGTCAATTATATAATTTCAAAGTGCAGATTCATTTTATTCAGTTATGCTCGATCATAAAAAAATTACGTGAAATTACAGTTATCCGTTAAATAAATTTCATCCAAATGACATGTGCAATTTTAAAAATTACTGAATCTCTGTTATAAAAATTGTTAAATTAATAATTAAAATCTAAATTTATAAATGGAGGGAAATTATAATGTTTGGTTAAAATCGTAACTGGGGGTCGATTATGTAATTATTCCCAATTCCGCATTCCACTATTCCGATTACATATTCTGCTATTCCAATTCTGCATTTCACTTTACAGATTCCACTTTTCACATTCCGTATTCCACTTTTCACATTCCGCATTCCACTTTTCACATTCCGCATTCCACTTTTCATATTCCGTATTCCACATTCAGATTCCACATCCCACTCTTCACATTTCGCATTCCACTTTTCAAATTCCGTATTCCACAATTCCGCATTCCACTTTTCACATTCCACATTCCGTATTCAATTTTTCAAATTCAGAATAGTGGAATACGGAATCTGAAAAGTGGAATGTGGGATCGGAAAAGTTGAATATGTAATGCTGAAAGTGGAATGCGGAATTGGAATAGCAGAATGCGGAATCAGAATAGTGGAATGCGGAATCTGAAATGTGGAATGCAAATCGGAATAGTGGAATACGGAATGTAAAGAGTTAAATGCGGAAAATGAAAAGTGGAATTCGGAATGTGAAAAGTGGAATGCGGAATCTGAAAAGTGGAATGCGAAATTTGATAAGTGGAATAAGAAATGCGGAATGTGAAAAAAGGAATGCGGAATTGGAAAAGTGGAAAGCAGAATCGGAATAGAGGAATGTAAATAGTGATATGCAGAATCTAATTAGTGGAATACTGGAATTTGAAAAGTGGAATGCGAAATATAAAAAGTGGAATACGGAATCGGAATAGTGGAGTATGAATAATGATATGCAAAATCGAATTAGTGGAATACGGAATTTGAAAAATGGAATGCGAAATATGAATTAAGTGGAATGTGGAATCAGAATAGTGGAATATGAAATGTGAATAGTGGAATGCAGATTGAGAAATGCGGACCGTGGAATTCGGAATAGTTACATATTTGCCCCCCCCACTGTATTACAAAAATCGATAAATAAATAAATTTTTATATTCTTTGCAGAAAAGTCAAAGGAAAACTCACCTGCAGGCTGGTTCACCGACGGTCTCGAAAAATAAGCAGGTACCACCGTTCATGCAAAAATCTCCTGTAATTGGACAGGGTTGTTCTTGCCTTGGCCACGAAATAGTCGCTGAAAAAGAAAAAAAGTATAACTTTAAAAATTGTCAATAAAAAAATTGTATAAAAATAACGTTATTCTATTAAAACTAATTTTTAATTTTCTTATAAAAATGGTAAAATTCGAAATTAACAGGATTTTAATATCAGTATACTGTTGAAATGTGAAACATGTCTGCAGTTATGATGATGCGTAGGGTCAAACGTTGACTTAAACTCCTGCGCGACTGTCTGACCTGTCTGGTAGAACGGTAGACTAAAACCACTGAATGGATATAGATGATGCAGCATATTTGACGATTGTACAGCAAGGAATGCAGAGTAATTGTTGAATTTAATTGACAAATAACGTTATTGCTTAAATTTACTCAAATTATAATTTTGTCGTTCAATCAAATTAATTAAACGAATGAATGAAATCTCAATAAAAATCAAGAATACAAATTATTAAATTAAATTCAAACAAACAGAAGGAATTCAGTACTGAAAATCAAGAAAAATTCAATCATTTTGCTCTTCCAATAGAACCATTTATGAAATTATGTTCAATTCTGAAACTAAGTTAAAACGACGGGATTTTTAAAAAGTTTTCAGTTTTAATGTAACACAGTGTTTATTAGTTTAGTAAAATTGTCTGGAGGTTTATTAAAATAATTTTGTCAAATAGAGTCCCGTCAATTTCTTCGTCTCCTCTGTAGAAGAATCAAATGTTAAATATTTTAAATCTTCGCTTCACATTCTTTCGAAAATATCTTTTTCTAATTTTACCTATGGAGCTTAATTTCATACTGCAAATATTACATTTTCGAATCTGTCAGATTCATTTCACTAATTATGTGCAATTATGCCTTAATTATATATTAATTTTTTGAGTTCTTATAAATGTATTTTAAAACTTTTCATCTCCTATTTTGAGATTTCTTTAAATTTTAATCATGAGTTATAAAAAGTATGAAAATTGTTTTACTTTTAATGAAGTTTGGTCTATTCACTAAAAAGAAAGGAACTAATTAATTTAGTACCAATTTTGGGTATTAAATCGTCATTTGGTTCTATTTTAATACCGGAAATCAGCTCTAATTTAGAACCTTTTATTTACAGTGATATGTAAGAGAAAATGAAGTTAAGAATAATTACTACATAAATAATAGAAATTTTGCGATAATATAATAATCTTCGATTTAGGAAAATTATTTTCAAACCCGTAAATCGCCACTTCGTCCCGTTTTTTTTTACCCATAATGCACTCAGTCGCATATTTTAGAATTTCGGTAAATCCCACTGGCGATATTTGCATACCAAAGACTAATCCATACCGATTGAAATGAAAATGCATACCTTCCATGAATATAATTTTCTTAGGCGAACGGAACAAAGCCCTTGGAAACGGGGGTTGCGCGATTTATTCACGTGAGAAACCCAACTCCCGTTTTCAAGGCGAAAGCGACGGCTCGAAAAGGTTTTTGTTTTTAGAACAGGATAGGCACACGCTTTCGAAACACTTCCGCGCAGTGAATCCTGTGAAATGGGACATTTACCTTCTATATCTTAGAAAGGCAAAGCCTGCAGAGGCTCAACGTGAAGTGAATACAAACTACTGCACTGTTCATGCTGATCGTCCTTAAGTTCTTTTTCTTCCTCAAAGAAGAATTCAATCGACATTTCGGAAATCAATTTTGTATTCTTATTTCCAATAATATTTAACAATATATTTCTATTTGAAAATTTCAATTCCCTAACTTTTATATATTTTCACGTGCGTAATAAAAATATAAAAATCAATTATCTCATGAATTGATATCGATATTTTACTAATTTGAAATATTTAAAATTCCAATCTTAAACTTTAGTTGTGATAGTAATTTTACAAGGAGAGGAAATCGAATAAAAAAAAATATACATAATTCATATCGTTCGATGAATAAAAGAAATGTGCGAACTTAGAATTTCCTACCACTTTAACAATTAATTAATTTTATAATTTTTACCGGTAGTTTTACTTAAAATTGAGACGAGCGAAGTAAAAGATTAAAAGCAAACTTTGAAATTAAATTTATCGATCGAAAGAACAAAGATGGAATATTCACATTATGTCGGGAATAAAGAGAGAAAATGTTACGAAATTGAAGAAATATAATAAATTTAAACTTTTTTTGTCATTGGAAAAATAGTCTAGAAATATTTTTTTTAAAAATGTTATGTTAATAAAAATTTTAATGTTAACAGATAAATAAATTTTCCAATCATAAATAAAATTCACATTTAAATAAATAAAATAAAATAATAAAATAATGAAATTCACTTTATTTTACTTGAATTATTAAGTTTAATGACGACAATTATGTATATAATAGAAAAATGATCTCTAGAATCTAGACGATTCTGTAACTTTTCCACATTCCACTTTCCACTCTCACATCCCACTTTCACTTTCCACATTCGTTTTTCACTTTCCACCCTTAATGGTGGGAAAGTAGAAAGTAGGAAGTGGGGTCAGAAAGTGGAAGGTGGGAAGTGGTAAGTGAAAGTGGGAGTAGAAAGTAGGAAGTGAGAGTTTAAAGGGGAAAGTGTAAAGTGAAAGTGCGAGTAGAAAGTGGAAGGTGGGAAGTGGTAAGTGAAAGTGGGAGTAGAAAGTAGGAAGTGAGAGTTTAAAGGTGAAAGTGTAAAGTGAAAGTGCGAGTAGAAAGTGGAATGTCGGAGAGGGAAGTGAAAGTAGAAAGTGGAAGGTGGGAAGTGGTAAGTGAAAGTAGAAAGGGAGAGTTTGAAGGGAAAGTGTAAAGTGAAAGTGCGAGTAGAAAGTGGGAAGTAGGAGAGAGAAGTGAGAGTAGAAAATGGGAAGTGAGAGTTTAAAGTGTAAAGTGAAAGTGCGAGTAGAAAGTGGGAACTAAGTAGTGAAAGTGGGAAGTAAGAGTTTAAAGGGGAACGTGTAAAGTGAAAGTGCGAGTAAAAAGTATAAAGTGTGAGAGGGAAGTGAGAGTAGAAAGTGGGAAGTGGTAAGATAAAGTGGGAGTGGAAGTATAAAGGGGATAGTTTAAAGTGAAAGTGCGAGTAGAATGTGGAAAGTGGGAGGGGGGAAGTGAGAGTAGAAAGTGGAAGGTGGTAAGTGAAAGTGGAAGTAGAAAGTGTAAACTGAAAGTGCGAGTAGAAAGTGGAAAGTGGGAGAGGGAAGTGAGAGTAGAAAGTGAGAAGTGGGAAGTGAAAGTGTAAAGTGGGAGTTGAATATGGGAGAAGAAAGTGGAAGGTAGAAAGTGAAAAAGGTAGGTGGAAAGTGGGAGTGGGATGTGAGTGTAGAAAGCGGAAAGTAAAAGTGGGAATTGAGAGTGTAAAGGGGGAACTGTAAAGTGAAAGTGGGAGTAGAAAGTGGAAGGTGGGAAGTGAGAGGAGTGTAAAAGGGGGTGAAATGTGGAATATTATTATTATTATTATTAATTATTGAAAATACGCCACGGTGACGTGACACTATCAAAAAAATTATCTACACTAAGTGGGAGTAAATTTTAAAGAGCTAAATTTTGCGTTCACTTGCTTACATTGCAGTTTAAAATAGTTTTCAATTTTTTCTTGATAAAAAGTGTCGTCATAACGAAAAAACGATATGCGCCTTTCCTTAATAGATTCATCTTTACGGTGTGAAGGTTCAAGTGCAAGCCATGAACTAACGGTTACGAATTACCAAGCAGCGACAAGCCGCCGACTATAAATCACCTCGAGAGGCACGCGCCACTTGGAAATAAAAACACAGATTTTAAAAAAGTTAACAATTAAGAATATATTAAATTTTAAATAAAATTTACTTAACGAATAATAAAAAAATGAAAGAAAATATATTGAATAATTTGTTTATTTTTGACCAATCTCATTAAGATTATAACTTTTTAATCTTACTATTCTGGTGTCTATTAAAAATTAGTCACCCTAAATACCCTTAGATATCAAGTATCATAGGAATTCAACAATTTTTAAAAAATTTTATCCGCCATATTGGATCCGACATTATTAATTTTTGAAAACAGACGAGATTTGTAATTAGCGATGCCTTTAGATACTAAGCATCATAAAAATCTACTTTTAAGAAAAATGTATGCATTTGGAAACCAGTAATTGAATGAAAATTAATGCATTAAATAATTTACATGTTAGATTTAAAAAAAATTAAAATAGCGGTTAATATGTAGAGTAAAATTTTTAAAACCTGATGGATTTTTATATAAAAATTCACCTTAGGGATTTTAGCAATTTTTTACGAATCTTAAATTAAATAAGTTAATTTTTTTTATTCGAATCATCGATGCAGAAAATTTCGTTTATACTTTGTTTTAAGCATCCAATAGAAATCCGCTATAATATTATTTTTCCTGATAGAGAATTTCCATCATCTTTGTGTCCCAGCGAAAACGTTTACCATGCTTATCACTGAATAGATTATCAAGAAAATTATCCAGATGAGAGTGCAGGAAATATAATTTTAAATTGATTTAACAACCGCGGTTTTTATACGACTTAATCATTTTGGCAACAATTTGTTTGTAGAAAAAATTTTTTATTTTCCAGAAAGTTTTGTGAAATTGCCTGTAAACTTAGTCAAGCTATTTTTTTAAATTTATTTATATTAGAAATAAAGATTTTATATTTAAATAGCGATCGATTGTGAGGTTCATCAAAAACTTCTGCTTTTAATTTATTTTCAGAAATTTTAAAGCAGAATAAAAAATTTAACAATACAATTTTAAATATTAAATCTATATTTTATTCAAGAGAAAGTAACTCTTCTTTCCGACAAAATGGAAAAAAATCAACTCTACTAAATTTGGATATATGTTTGATTCAATAGAAAAAACCTTTTTGACTAAAAAGGAGCTCTATTCAACAAAGGTAGTCAATTTGTTCAATATGAAACTTTAAACTAATTCAAAAAAAAAAAAATTTCCAACACTTTTAGAAAATTTTTAAATTTTGCAAACTAAAAAGTTCGAATGCAAAATATAAAATAGAGCAGAACAGTGGTGAATATTT